CACGTTGGAGAAAGTTCGTGGAGGACTGTCTCCCGTGGGGGGGACCCCACGTTGGAGCAGGGGAAGAGTGTGATGAGCCCTCGCCCTGAGGAGGGGAAGCGGCAGAAAATAACATGTGATGACCGTAAACCCCATCCCTGTCCCCCTTGTGCCGCTGGGGGGGCTTGGTGGAGAAATCCGGGAGTGAAGTTGTGCCCGGGAAGAAGGGAGGGGTGGAGGGAAGGTGTTCTGAGATTTCGTTTTATTTCTCATTTACCTTACTCTGGCTGATTTGTAATAAAAAGTGAGCTAATTTTCCCTAAGCTGAGTCTGTCTTGCCCGTGATGGTAATTAGTGAATGATCTCTCCTGTCCTTATCTCGACCCGCAAGCTTTTTGTTATATTTTTCTCTCCCCTGTCCAGCTGAGGATGGGGGAGTGATAGAACGGCTTTGGTGGGCACCTGGCGTCCAGCCAGGGTCAACCCATCACAAAGAGCTACTGTGAGCCTTCCAAAATGCATTTTTACTTACCACGTCATTCATTCAATTCTTGATTCCATTTGTTACCAGGCAAGTTGGAAATATCAGACTTACTAGTCTAACTCCTTTAACCTCCGGGAACTCTGGGCATTCATGCCTTCTTCAGTATTTTCAAATCCCTTGGTACTGTGCCAGCTACAAGTAATAGGATGCACACTGCAGTTCACAGCTCTTCCAGAGCTCTATTTATATTACCATTTGCTTCATCTGCTGTTCTATAACCTCTGCTATCTTGACTGGAAGAGATTTCGCAAGTCTTCCTTGGAGAGGGATTCCTGCTTAGGGAGTTCTATAAGTTCCTCCATAGCGAATAAGGACCAAAGATCAGCAATGCAGCTTTTCTAGTGCAGGCCTGCAAATACCCCTTCCAAGCATTCCTTTAAATCTCAGTCATTTATTAGTTTCAGGGGAAGGCTTTTCTGCTTCTAATGTAGTTGTAAAAGGACTATTCACTATACATTTTGAGCAAACTGTTTTTCCAACTTTTTGGCTTACCTTGGTCTGTTTTTATGCATCCCATGACTTCCCAAAACTTACAGCTTAGGTTAATTAGAGGGAGATTTCACAGGAATAGCAAAAGTCACGCTCTCAGCATGAAGATGTCCATCATGCATAAATTTTTAATAACTTCAAGTTATTAAGCACTGGGTGCTACCATGGTTAATACACTGTGATGTCCCTTGATCATCTTAAGTCTGTGAAAAAAACTGAATGGTGCATAAGGTGTTTTCTCTCTTAACTATGGTAACAAAGCAATTTTCAAAATATTTCCTGCTTTCCTACTCTTAATTTTTCTAGTGTGACTTAAGTTTTCTAAAACACTCTTTTCTAAGTACAGGAGAAAGCCCTGCACCCTGTTTGTGTGCTGAGGAACTTAAAAGCATTGTCATAATTTAAAAGCACCACCTGCAAAACACAGTATTACTGTTTTACTAAGGTTTAAACTTCAGGCATGCTTGCCTGAACTCAAGTGAATGAAGTCCCCAATGAATTACTCGAATATTGCCCCTTCTTTCTATATTTTAAGTTGCATGTAAGTTTAATGAATTGGCCAGAAATGCTACAAACGTTCAGAAGCAAGAGTTTCATTTCTTCAACATTACAATTTCTTTTATGAAATCAAAGCTGGCAAAGTAACTATTCTGTTCTGGGAATAAGCCACATGACTGGCTTGATGTCTCAGTATTACAGCAACTGAATGCTAAGCAAAGTAAAAAAATAAAAGCTGAGAGGTTTACCTTATTCTAAGCAACAAGGTATTGATTGAATATTATTTTTAAGTGTTCTTTAAACTGGGATTAAGTAATAGAACATTTGCACCAGCTTTCTGTTTGTTTACTTTTAAAAAGCTGTATTAGCTGAATCATGTAGTTTTGATGGCTGTTATGACTGTAATTTGGATATTGTAAATATACTGCAGATTCTTTATGCTGCCTCACAGCACTGCCTCAATCAAGAAATGGATAACACCTTCCTTAGCAACTTAGAGCATGATAGGATGCCAGAAATGAAACCCCACCGTCTCAAAAAAATCGACCAACTGTTAGACATGGTAACTGCCAAAAAGTCTTTGCAAGGTACACAAATGTCCTACCCTTTTTTCATCAATACTTTTACAATAAACTTACGGTGCGGTTCCTGATGTACAGAAACACCTTCTGAGTCTGCTGTGGCCCACTGATTATATCAGGGAAGCAGGCAGCTTCTTGAGATGTCATACGGTCATGTGGAAGTCTACTCTGGAAAGCTGCACCCTCCACACCTACAATAAAAAGACAAGTTGTCTACAGGCACTCCAAAAGGAACTGCTAAATAAGTATTTTTACACTACCCTTCCTAGCCAGTGCATCTAGCCATGACGTGACATGGTGGCCAATATCACGTCATGCTTTCATTTAGTCCTTTTATTTACTTCTGCAAGACATGCACGTTCCCAAGTCAACAGTTCTTTGAATTACAGGTATCATCTAGGGTTAATGAAAAAACTATACTACAGGGGAAAAAAACAAAACAAGACAAAAACCCAAATAAAAACCTGAAAAATAAGAGATACAGGAGCACAGATCAATATAACATATAATATTATATATAAACATATATATAAAATATAATATCAATAAAACATAACTGCTTTAGATGCTGTCCTTCATTTGTGTGGTTTCCAGTTTCTATCAGAATATGAAAAACATTTTGGAACCCATTCAATGCCAAAAGATCTATAAGATACAAGCACAATGCCTACAGTCCCCTCTCACCTGCTTTTCAAGGTTTCATTTGCACTGAACTCCTGAAGCTAGAGGAATGCTCTAGCTTTCCCCTCTCTTTTTGCATATTTTATATATTCACAGCAGGCAGTGCAATGAAATACAATCCTTCTTAGGCTTTTCCTGTGTCCCTTACCCAAGTGCTGTCTACAACCAACAACTACAGATTTCTGACTTTTCCTTTTAAATGCTCCACATAAGAGACTAATGTTGAACATATACAGGAGACATTTTCTCTGTGGAAAGACTTCATTCATAAAGACACCTGTACTTCTATCCATTCAAACACCAGCAATGAAGTAATAATACAGCTATGTACCCTACATTCCTCAATCTCATTTGAATGTTATACTATATATAAAGTAACAAACCAAGACACAGCTGCATAAAGTGCTACAGCACAAGTAGAATGCAGAAAGTGAATCTTGCAGGCACAGCGAGCAAAATGAAATACTGAGATGTGAAATACAACAAGAACAACGTAAATCTTGTATGTCCTAGGAAGTGACTTAAGATCAGGACTGACAGAGGAGAGGACATTCAATCTGGAAAGATATAAGCCAATACATCCCAAGGGGAAAAAAAAACCCCCACAAGTAACACAGTAAGATTAAGATCATTTGCTGAAACTGGAACTGTTCAAAAGAATGTAATAAATATAAAAGAAAATATAAGCTTGCAGTGTGTTACACTAACCAAGACAACTGTCTGAAAGTTTGAAGTTCATGTGCAGAAGTACACGTCACTGTATTGGGGAGAGGAATTCTCTTCTTTCAGTTCTGGTGCAATCATACACACACCTTTAACTTCAAAGCATTTTTACACCCCAAAGGTGAAGAAAAAAATTTAAGCAAGGAAACGGTTGTGAAGCTAAAATAATTCATTCACAAGCAAAGATTAGAGGATCTAACTGTGTGATGACTCAAGGTAAAGAAAACTGTCTATAATGTTTACAGGAATTTTACAACACAAGGAAATTAGTAACAGACGCTACAGAGCACTGCAAGAAAGTAAAATGCAATTAACAATAGGAAAAGTTGACACACCCACAATGCTTCTTGACACTAATATCCAGCTATGGAATAGAAACCCATAGCTCTGCTAGAACATCAGCTTCTCCAGTAATAAACATCCCCCAGTCTTTTCGTTGTCCTTCAGTCTAACACTGGACCAACTGTGCAAACACCTACACGTGAATGCATATGCTAAACTATGAACTCCATAAAATTGTGCACGTAAATCAAACCAAAGTTACCAATTCTCTGATACATTACTAACATTAACAAATCTTAATTAAAGTTCTAGATCATCAAGTGTTAGCAAAGAGCTTGGCAGCACAATTTTCAGAGAATGGCTAAAGACTTGAAATGCTGAACCTGACTCCCTCTTACAGGCTTATGCTAAAATGAGTGTGCCTTCTCCAGATATTTGCTAAAAAGTGTTGACTGTCATGCAGTGATCAACTACCAGGAAACTCTCAGACATGTGGATTTAAGGCAACTCACCAGTTTCTTGAAAAGCTTTGCAATTTATTTCTTCAAACTGAGAAGCCAGAGAAGCTGGCGCTCCCAACAGCCTTGGAAAGAACTCCAAGGTGGTTTTTTTTTGTTGTTGTTTTTTTTCAAAGCCACATGTCCTTTATGGCAATACCTGAACTTTAAAACTAAAATGTCAGAATAGCTCCAGATGAGCACTGGTGTTTAGGAAAACAAAATAAAACAAAACAAAACAAAAACACAAAAGGGTTTGACAGCAGAATTTAGAAAAAAATCTAGCTATTATTAGTGAAGATACTGTTTTATTTGGCCCAACCACCAGAAGATCTTTTAAGAACTAAATGTCCTTGAATTTACTTCTGCAACTACACGGCTCAAAGTTAAATCAATTTCAGGCTGATTAAATCCCCCCCAATCCCACACCCTTACTGCTTGCGTTTCATGAAAGCAACACATTAAAGGGAGTACCAGTTCAGAACTACACATGCTTTCCTTAGGGCAGGCAACTCTTTAATGACTGTAGGAATGGATCTGCCTAGACTGGATTCTCATTCCCTCTTCACACACATTCGCGCACACACTTGCCACTTCCTGACATTCAGCATCAGCAACTAATGTGCTCAAGTTTTCATTATCTTCTTCCCCACAGAAGAAATCTTGAGGGATGCTGCTCATTTAAAGACTTACTGAAACTTCTGCAGATGAAAAACACTGAAGGAAAGCTATTGGCTGCTAAATTGGACAATTGCTAAAGCATACCCTCAGCATATATATAAAATGCAAAATATGCAGAGTTTCCAAACAGCCAATGCCTACCTAAAAATGAAGTAGGCAATGCACCCTTAAACCCACAATCTATAACAGTCAAATTCTGTGCAAGTGGTAAGATCCAAAACATAACTTGGCTCCTTTACTCAGAACGGCAAGGATGCACTCTCAGATTAATATCTTGAAGTTGTATTTGCTTCAAAAAGAGCAACTTGGAGGTACAGAATAGGTTGTGGAGCCTTCAACTCCTTTGCTTAAAACCCTAGTCCTCAATCGTCAAGTGAGAGCGAAAGCGGCAGAGTTGGAGGAAGATTTTCAGTAGCATTCTAAGTACTTAAAGATACCAATTCTGTGAATTAAGCAGTAAGTGCATACTGCTAGCATCAGTACTTAGGTCAAATGGCAAATGCAATTCACAATCCAGTCCACTGAGAAGCAGACTATGAATCTCCTCAACAGATAAACCCCCTGGGCTAACCACTGGTACACAGCTCAAGCACAAACCCTTTCAAAAGAAAAAACAAAAACAAAGGAGCAAAAAGGTACTCCACACTGTTTCTTCAGCAAATTAGAAAAAAGGTCTACTGTGCTGAAGCCCAGGGCTTTCTGTGTCATTCTAGGTGGTAGAAACTGGCTAGGTAAAAAATATCTTTTTGCACGTTTGAACTCCTCTGAACATGGAGAGGAGTGGAGGGATGAGAGATCGGCCTGAGGGATTTCAACATACGTTAGCGTCCTTTTCCATAGTTGGTACAGAACTCAACTGAAATTTGAAAATACCCTCGCTTTTTTAACAGGTGGGTAAAAAACTCCTGTATCTCTTGCTAAATTCTGGACAACCACACCCATGCGCACTTGCAAGCATCAATCCCTAACTTGGCGGCTCTTGCTACTAAGTGGCAAGCATCAAACGCCACCCTCACCTGATGCTTGGCCGTCTCCATACCCTCCAGAATTGTCGTCTTGAAGTCCTCCTGCTTGCCCTGTGGAAGGAAAGAGGAGAACTCAGGGACCTTACTCCATAAGTTAAACCATACTGGACATAAAGGCCCGGCAGTTGGCGTTTTAGGTATTAAATTTCACCAACTAACTAAACCCATTTTCTGAGAATCCCGTCTTCTGGAACCTAGGTTCAGGGTACCAAACTCTGTAGTCTTCTAGTGTCATCCATGTTACTGGAACGCTTTACATCAGACTTTATGAGAAATAAAGTAGTACACAATATGTAGCATTCCTGGTGGCTAAATACTTATGATCAACTTCATTAATGGCTAGGATTTGAATAATAAGATTACATTTCTTACTGCCAAGATCTGGTGGACGGATACCATCAGATTCTATGGATCTCAAACCATAAGAATTTGATAATCTTGCCCTTGGTACTCCCGAGTGTCCCCATATGCAAGGGGATAGTTTGAACCATTCTGAAAAGCCTCTCACTTTCAAGAGAGCCTATTTTTTTTTTTGCCACAAACCCTTCCCTGAAGCTTGATGATGGAACTTTTTTGAAAGGCTCAGACCACTTGTTTTGGCTTCAGCGCTCTTGATACACCAACAATGTTCTAACAGACTAAGACCACCTTTGAAGCAAAGTACATGTCAATACCACTGATCAGTAACGTGATCAACACCCAGCACTGAAAGACATTGGTCTTTCAACGTATCCAAGGCTGGAAACATGAGGAAAGGCAAAGCACTCATCTAAAAGATCTGAAGAAGTCTCAAAATTACCTTAGCCTGCATCTAAGTCCTAAATAGCAGCCTTCACAGAACTACAACACAACCAGGAACAGAGCATTTCTACAACAGAGATGAGTACAGCTGCGATGTCTGCAGGAACAAAGCCAATATAGGTCACCTCACACACTGCTAACCTTCACAGGAGATGCTAGCTCCAAGTTTAGCTTGCAAGTGATATTCTTCCAGAGTCAGATGTTTGCCTGAAGTCTTGTCACCTCCAGAGAGCAGGAAGTCGTGGAACACTACAGAGACAGCTGAACACTGTTCAGCTAGCTGCTCCTGTAACAAGGTTCCTTCAAACTAAGTGCTTCAACAGTCAGCAAATTGGGTGTTTTCTAAAGTCCAAACAAACCCCCACTGAAACAAACTGCTGAGGTCAAGGTAGCAAATGGAACAGTCACTTCCTAGAGCACAAGTGGTCAGGGTGTCATCTCTAAACATGTAAGAGTAAGGTCTAACCTGAGGCTGAACACACAATTGTTAAGATTACTCTTCAGAGTTTGGGATTGGGTCGACAATTTTGCCAGAATGTAATTTGAGGCTCTTAGGGGATACACTAACTTAAAAGAATTTCACCTGAACTACAAATTTAACCCCTAAAGCAAGACACAGAGAATGAAACAAATATCTTCATACTTCGATAGCCTGGAGTAACATCTGGAATATTGTAACAATACACATCTACAGATAATATAAAATAGGAACTGAAACAAGAAAGACATTTTCACTCAGCTACAGTAGAGGAGCAATAGTAACTACTTTTATATAATCAGTCTACCAGCAGGGAAGTTCAGAAACTCACAAGAGAGACCATGACAAATAATTGTATTTTGACATGCCTCAGAAGTCCCAAAGCCAGGATTCTCTGAACTAATATATCTGCAATAGCAAGAGAAAATTCCTCACTTCATCTACACTTTAAGTACTTTATTCTGCTGGGAACATTGCAAGATCTGCTATCTCTTCTGGGAGAGACTAACAGAACTCAAACATCAATATTCACAGTCCAGCACAGGCCTTTAATTTGCAGGAAAAGTTACACTTGTGCCTTCCGTAAGTTAAGAAATTGAAAAAATGCTGACATCAGCCTGTGGCATTCATTGTCCCTGAATTAGCACTGACAATGAGTAGAGGGGACAAAATTGCTCTCGGTTTACTTACAAAAAGAAATCAGTATTTTCCTCTTCTGTTAATAACAGCTAAACCAAACCATTTTCAGTTTTAGGTCAAAAAAAAGTATCACTATTACTGCTTGCTTGGACATAATTCTGAAAGCTACCCAGTCTGAGTACAGAAGTGTGGAAACAAGGTCTACTAGTGCAGATAGCCTCTCCTTCCCCATAAGAAAGTCATGTTCCAGCTGCAGAGGAACAAAGCAGCAAGCAAACTGCTGACCCATGTTAACAACAAATTACTGCAGCTGAACACATGTGCAAGAGCAGAATCTGCTGAAAGTCTCAAGGCAACTGAATAACAGACCATGAGCTGAACAGCAATCAGAAAGGTCTACAAAGGAGTCCACTTCATACAATCATCCACTGTCTTAAAATAAAGAATAGTGGCACAAGATTACCACTGAGTACTGAATTTAATTAGGAAAACAGACAAGTTGGATGAAAGACAGAGACAGAGTACCACTAAGTTTTGACTATTCACTTGACATTAATCTGGATCATAGTCAGTCTCACACTTCCTTGGAAAACAGTAGCTAGGAACACAAGATTACCACAAAGTAAGAACACTGACAAAACTAAAAAGACAGGAGCTGGTAAAGAAAACCTTCAGAAAGCTATAAGAATGAAAATCCAATTTGGTGAGGGCAAACAAAAAAGATCCTTAGAGGAGAAAAACAAAAGCAGCAAGCTCCTTAATTTCAAAAGGGATATTGGCAAATAACACAAATGTCATTCAACACTGAAAGTGAGTTTGGAAGCCTTTTACTATCAGACAATATTTCTCAAGTAAAAAAAGAGGAGAGACACTTTAAGGAAATTACCTTAAACATGAAATACTGTTACGCCTTTTAAAACTGCTCTGCAGTAACATGCAGTAAATCTTGCAAATCTAGATGATAACAATCTGCATAGCCAAAACATCTGGAATTCCCCACAGCTGAACACAATAAGCAAGCCCACCCCAAGTAAGAACCGCATTTTGCTGTCACCTAAAGTGTGGTACTTAATAACCTCCTTCTACTGTAAACTGTCTGTGAGGACAGACTAATGAAATACCAGCTACTGTCACTATTACATTCTTAAGTTTGCACAATTAGGCTTTTCAACACAAAAGGTCATAACCTATAACATGACAGCTTTACACCTCTACTGCATTACCTATGTTTTTGCAGGCTTTAAACATACAGAGGAAATTATTAAGGTCTGCAATGAGACTAAATTAACAGTAATACACAAGCTAACTTTTTGTATTTTGTTAAATTTTCAATATGCAAACCTGCTCTAGTATTGCTGTACTATTTAATATTTCTTATTGAACACATATTTTTGCTTCAAAGAAGTCACAGAGGGAGAAAACCTCAATTATAAACATTGTTTCTATATACAGGAGACTCCATGCCTCTTCCTGCTAACGGTTGTTTGAATTAGAAGTTTCAATGCACTTTAACAGCCAGCATAGATGACCTGACGCTCTTGATGCCTACATTAATAAAGACAAAGATAGAGAGATCCACCAATGTATATAATTTCAGAAGCCTTTAAAAATACGGCAAGACTAGCTATGGAATGACAACTGAAAATCTGTCACCTTTCTACATCACTGCTTCATGCATATCACAGGATTTCTAGGAATGGAGAAAGGATATGATGATGTGAAATCTACTTATTTCTAAGCAGCTAGATATAGCCTGTTTTAAATTTGGTTGTATTTAGACAACTAAATATAGTGCTTGCAGAGTAACTGCTTAACAGACTGTTGTGTGTATAGAACAGCATGAGTTTATCACTGCCTATCTTCCATGTTTCTTCCTTCATGGGGTAAAACACTACTTCATTGACTATGTCTCAAACTGATTTCAATAATCATTCTTAGAGCCACAAAATGGCATCTAAGAAATATCAAAAGTGTATTAATATTAGGTCTCAAGGATTAAACTCAAAGTCTAAGCTAACTTAAATAGTAAACTTAAGATACTTTCTTAATTACACCTATTAAAATTCCATTTTTTGACAGATCAACTACAAGTACGGGCAGGGATGATTTTTATCATTGCAAATATTTCAGTCAAGCATATGAGCTATGGTATTCCTGTATCAAGCCAGGAGCCAACAGCTGCAGCTGAGGAGAGATTACAGGGGCAAATCCTAAGAGATAAAACACAACTGTGGCTTTTAATATATTTTCTGAATCCGAAGGCAAGCATCCCCAAATTGACTTCAATCCTATTGTCTAAGTTCTCAAACCTGCCAGCCAAAAAGAAGCCAATTAAGAGCAGTAGAACTGAAGACTAGCAGTTATTCACATCAGTGATGAACCAGCAAAAGTTCAACTACTAGATTTCAGCTATTGTCTAAAACCAACTAGCACACACATCATCTCATGAAATCTCTCCAACAGCTAAACTTTGCAAAAGTATGATTTTGTAGATAGTAGACTGATGCACCAACACCAGACCTAACTAATGGTGGTAGCTGTAAACACAACAGAGGTAAAGAATGGATAGGGTACTGCTAATACCATAAATTTCAAAAGCTGCTTCCTGAACAAGACTGACCAAAAAAAATTCCCAATGTAAAGTGAAGCTTTACAACTCTGTCAAAGGTAATGAGAAAAGCACTGAAGTTTAAACAAACAGTATCCAACCAGAACTTAAGGTTAGAGTCATAGTTTAAAGCCACAGGAATCACTGTACATTAAATTTGTTCTCCTGTATAGCAAACCCCCCATAAATCTAACCTCTTTTCTTTCAGAAGAATAAGTAAATGTTGGTACATGAGCAGGTGTGGCAACTAAGTGCCAAAGAGGCTATTCTGGTCAATAAGCTTCCAAAGACATGTCAATAAAGATCATAAGAATCTAGTATAAGAGGTTTAGCTTAGTTTGGAATTACATCATGCTTATACCCATCTTTATCAGGCTGCTCTTCTGCATTTTTCCCCTCCTTTCACATATAGGGCCAGCAAAGAAAACACTGCAAAACAATCATTCAAAATCAATCAAAACCAGACACAGGATTCGTGACGCTGCACCTGACCCTGCTTAATTTCTGGCAGTAAAACAGGTAAGTAGTGTCAGAGGAGAAGGTCTCTCTTTACTCACCAGATGGCTCCTCTGGCTCACTTTCATTCTCTTCTTCTGCAGGAGCTGGTGGTGGTGGTGGTGGTAGTTTTTTCTCTTTCTCAGCTTTAGCATTTCTCTCTTCTTCAGAGTAATACTCATCTTCTGACAGGTTTGCAAGACTCTCATCCATCTCTCTATACTCCACCTGTAAAAAGCACAACAGAGGATAAACACACTGAAGATACTGGTAAGTCTCACTACTAAAATGAACACTGCAAGCAACAAAATTGCTTACAGCTCAGAGAAAAGGCCTGAGTTACCTTGTCCAGAGTCTTATTACAGCTACCATGTTATAAAATCTTCAATAGCTTAACAAGTTCCATGTGTTTTTACCTCCACTAAAAAAAAAAAGTCTTCAGCACCCAACTGTCCAGTAGTAGGAACTTTCTACTCATATTGAGCCCAGCTTATGTGTATTTGTTATATCATCATTTAACCTCTCTAGTTGCCTTCCCCTCCCTCACCTCCCTGTCAAACTCAAGGATAACAAATTGCCTCTGTGCCTATTCCATATGTTCCAACTTGAATTTATCTGTCAAACATGGGTGACCACAACTGTACACAAGATTTCCTGAGGAAATCCCACTCATGTCCTGTACACAGATGTATCTTGCACAGAGAGTCTCCCGTTTACTGGAAATCTTGCCCTCATACAGAGGATCACATTTGCCTCCTCTCCAGGATGGTCACACTAGTGGCTCAACACAAGACTGAAAAAAACCCCCACCCAACTTTATTGCCATATATGTTTTGTTCTGTTCTCCAGTAAAAATAAATAATATTACCAGCTAAAAAGAGTCACTCCAACTTAAAGAAACATGGAAGCCCCAAGAAATAACCTAGAAAGGATGCATCTCATACTGTTTAATAAACCAAGTTTTTTTCTAAAGTAAGAAAGCTTTGTATATTGCTATTGAATTTCCCTACCTGTTGGAAAGGAAAAAAAGGACTTCTCACAATATGCAGCCTTGGGAAAAATAAAGCGAAAGCAGCTAGTGTACCTCCAACATTCTACAGGTCAGCTTCTCCCATGAGATGACAAAAGCAACTCTGCATTTCTCATCAAAAAAATGACAAATCTTTCACAGTTGAAGTTCAGTCATTAAGAAAGGGCAATAATGGGTACATTTCAAAGTAGCATTGGGAAGCCCGTGTATAGGAAAGCCTAAATTCAGTAACATGCTAACACACTCCATGATCTTCTACCTTTCAAATATTTACGTTCATTCCATCCTGTCCAGCACATTCAGTTTTTCATGCTGTTGAGCAAATGTTGCACCACTAGGACCTTTTGTGATCTCCCACTCTGAAGCAAGTTACAACGATCCCACAGCATCACAAGAACAGTATGACAGGTATTTGAAACTAACACTAGTTATGCCCTAAGGCCCTCTAAAGCCTTCCATCCTCCTTAAGCTCACACAACTGTCAGAGAACAATCAAGTCCTATAAAAACCTAAGCTTTTTGCTAGGTTTATTTTTAACATGGATACCCTCCCCAACTGAGTTCACACCACAAACATTCGCAGTAAGACAACTTTGTGCTAGACTGAAGTGATCATGGGGATATACTGTGTTAAAAGAGATAAATGCCCTTAGCAAAGAGGCATTGCCAATGCAGAGAAACATCACTGAAATACAACCCACAGATAGTGCCCTAATTCCTACTTTTTAACAGACCACTATAAAGCAAGTAAAAACCAGGTATGCTGCCTCTGAAGATCACAGAATCACAGAATGGTTTGGATCAGAAGGGACCTTTGAAGATCACCTGGTCCAACCCCCCTTCCATGGGCAGAGACATCTTTCACTAGATCAGGTTGCTCAAAGCCCCATCCAGCCTGACCTTGAACGCTTCCAATGATGGGGGATCCACAACTTCTCTGGGCAACCTGTTCCAGTGTCTCACCACCCTCATTGTAAAAAATTTCTTCCTTATGTCCAATCTACATCTACCCTCTTTCAGTTTAAAAGATGCACCAGACTGACCTACCCAACAGTTCCTATACGCAAAGGACTAGTCCAGCTATCTTGTCACATAAGAGCTCTGAAGAGCAAGACATTCAATGCTACAGCTACAGTACAACAGACATAGTTCCTGAAAGTAATTTCAGCTTCCATATCAAACACACCCAGCTCTAGGCACAGCCAAGATCTTCAAAGTCTTCTGCAACAAGGTTTCTGAGAAAAAGTTTCAGAAAAAAAAGGTAATGTTCTCAGATGTTCAGAATAAGATATGAGAATTACATGCCACAGGCCCAAGTTATTGGAAGCTATTTACAGTCTTTAGATTCCATTGCTAAATCTCACCCTTAACACAGCACTGGCTCAACTCTTCAATGCCAACTGAGGGAAGCTGAAGAACGGTGGACTGAGTGTGGCCATCACCTTTATACCTTGCAATACCAGCATCATTCCATGCACATAATCCCCAAGACAAGCTGCACCCACACACCCCTAGTAACAACAGGAAAGTGCTCACGAAAACGTAAGATAACAAAAACTCAGATGTAATGCTAGGGTGTGTTTGGTTCTTTTTTTACTGCTCAGTATCTGACCAGGAAGCCCTACAAAGTTCCGAGGACTGTTGCAGACTGCTCTCCTTTATGGAACTGCACAAGTTCTCCCCAGACCTTATGAAGGTCATCTGTGACAATACAAGACCTCATTAGCTTCTTGCACGTCTGCACGTTTATCCTGCAGGAGAACTCCCCTCCATGGGCAGCACCCGCACCCCACGCACCGGCGCCGCCCGGTAACGCCCGCCCGGGCCAGAGAAGTCTGCTCAGCCCAGCGCCCCCCCCACCCCCCGGGCAGGGAGCGGTCTCGGGGACTCCCGGCCCGCCGCCCGCCCGCCCGGCCCCTTCCCCGGGAGCCGTCCCGGGCGGCGCGAACCGCCTCACGGAGGGGCAGGGCCCGGCAGCCCAACAGCCAGAGCACGCGCCACCCGCCAGACCCCCCTCCCGCTCCAGGCCGGCAGGGCCGGGCCCGTAGCCCAAGCACCCCGCCCTCCCCCACCTACTTTGGCCCGCTTGCGGCGGCTGGTCCTGCGACCCTCGGGGGTCTCGGCGATGCCAGTGGTTTCGGCGCTGGGCGCAGGGGCGGCGCCGGCGGCTGGCGGCTCGGACAGACCGCCCGGGGGCGAGGCCCGCGGCGGTTCCTTCTTGCGCGGAGTGCGCTCCGCAGCCCCGCCGC